TTGTGACCGCACCTTCCGTATGTGGGTCGTTACTTAGAATCCTGTACACTCCATCATGTCATGATCATGACCATGCCTCAACATTACATTTAACATCTAACATTTCTATATTAATACAATGTTCTTCTTAAACCTCTAATCCTTCCATCTCCTCCCTCACTGGCACCACTCAGTCAGAAGGAGACATGAGAAATCTTTGGTATAGCACCTCTAAAGCTCCTAGTCTCCTGGCCCCTTCTTCCCTTCCCTTGACCTGGAGGAGGAGGTCCCTGTCCGCTGGAAGCAGAAGTGAATGCACCCTTCACTTAGGTGCCCTGGGCACAATTTGCTCACACTTCCTCCAGGACCCTGGTCTCTTGGGTTGCCCCCAACATCTCCCTCTCTCTGGCTACTTACCATTAGCACTCAGACATACTCCAGATTCTCTCATCCTCAACACAAACAAATCTACAAAACCCTACCCTTGGCTCAAAGTCTCCCTTCTTCCCTCAGCTGTAACCTTAGTTCTGTCTTCTCATCAAGCTTGGTTTCAAAGTTGTGGGTGCTCACCATCTGCACTCTCACTGGTCCCAGCATCCAAATCTGCTGTGGCAAAGGTACTCGATGGCGTGGTTACCATTTCCCATGAAGTGATTCTGTTCTTGTCCTACCTGGCCATTTTCTGACTTCCTGACCTGTCCTTCCTCCTTGAAACCTCACTGCTTCCAATTGCTTCCAGAACACCACTTCTTCTTGCTTTCCACCTACCCTCTGCTTACCCTTTTCAGCCTCTCGACATTATTTACCCTAGAGCCTCTCTTAGAGCTTCCTCTTCCTCTGCCCACCTCTGAAATCCTGCTGTTCTCCAGGGTTCTATCTTCTTCCTCCTCCCTCTATTGCTCAGTCGTAGTCACAGCTGCAGTGTGCTCTGTGTGATGTAGGAACATTCCACAGGCATCACACACTCCATATGTTGCAGCCAGAAGGCAATGTCTTTCTCCCACAAACTCGTTGTTTTCCCGGGTCTCCTTCATCACATCACAATTCTAAACCAGAAATCTGCATGTCATCCCAACCTCTCTCCCCTCCCACCCTGTCATCCAAACAATCATTAAGTTCTGTCAATTCTACTTCCATTGGTCCCGCCCTACTGTCATTAAGCGTCCACCAGCGTCTCTCCTGACACTGCAATGATCTCCTACATGTTCAGCCTGCCTCTGGTCAGGATGTGTCAGTAGCTCCCTTCTGCTCACAAGATACACTCCAAATTTTTTAACATGACTTCAAGGCCACCGAGGATCAGCTGCCACCCATCTCTCCATCTCCTGCCACTTTCTCCAGGCATTCCGTGCTTTAACCAGACAGAATTCCTTGGCATTCCTGTTGATGCTAAACTTCCTCCCCTTCCTGGCCTTTGCACACCCTGTTCTCTGCTGAGAACACTCTTCCCTTTAAGACCCTGGTCCCCTTCAGGCTAAATCTGCTCAGTCATCAGTACTCAGGTCCTAGGCCCGTTCTGGAAAGACTAGGTTGGATGCACCTGTTCATAGTATCATGTACTTCCCATCAAAGCAATCATCGCACATTATCATTGTTGTTCATTCTGTTTTAAGTCTTCTCTACTAGATGCTAAGTTCCCGGAGGCAGAGCTTTCACAACCTGCCAACCCCAGTAACCTAGAGTCCAGCAGAAGGCCTGGCCTAGAGAAGCTCAGTAAAAAATTATTTTATCCCCATTTCACAAAGGTAGAAATCACAGAAGTCAAAGAAGTACATACAAGGCAGAAGAGGAACTCTTCCAACCATGTTTGATTTCAAGCCTGGTGCTCTCTCTAAGCTCCTGTTTTTTCAAAGCTAGAGACTTCCCTTTGGAAAACAAAAGGAAATTTACTTTTTATTTATGTTTCAACTCACTAATCCCTAAACCGCATAACCCTGACCATTGCTGGATCAAATCCTATAATCCTTTCAGGTGATTCTTAGGAAGATGCCTCAACTTACTTTCCTCTGGAAGAGACTCACTCTCTCCATATCTGGATCATCTTTGGCATAATTCACTTTCAAGCCATCTAAAATTCTCAGCAAAATACATAATCACAGGCATTAGCGATGCAAATTACTGCAAAGGAGACCGAAGCCCACTCTACCAAGCAGAATTTCAAATGCACATCAAAAATGCTATACATTCTGGCCAGATGCAGTGGCTTGCTCCTGCAATCCCAGCACTTTGGGAGAACGAGGCAGGCGTATTCCCTGAGGCCAGGAGTTCAAGAGCCTCTGGCCAACAAGGCGAAACCCCGTCTCTACTAAGAACACAAAAGTTAGCCAGGTGCCTGTAATCCCAGGCACTTGGGAGGCTGAGGCAGGAGAACTGCTTGAACCCAGGAGGTGGAGGTTGCAGTGAGCCGAGATCTGGCCACTGCACTGCAGCCTGGGCAACAGAGCAAGACTCCATCCCAAACAAACAAAAAATACTACACATTCTGATCATGACTAAGCCAAGGAAAGTGGAGACATTAGAATGTGGATCACATAAGAAAAGAAAACGTCCTAGCACTGCTTATGAAGAAACTAGCAACATCAGAAAACAAATTCTTCAGTAATTTAAAATCCAAAACTTAAGAGGCAATGCACATATAAGCAGCATATCCAGAATGATCAACGTGTTCTGGTAGCAAACATGTGCATGCTCAGTTTGCTCTACATGTATGCTAGTTATGTATGTACGTTATATGGTGTATACTAATTACATTTTAATTCCTATTCAGTGTGTCTTATTCTTTCTTACAGTAAAGTTTGTCAGCGCCAGTTTTTTTTTTTTTTTTTTTTTTTGGTCCTCAACTGGAGCATCAACGAAGAAGATAAAAACACTTCTGTTTCCATTTTATTCTTCCATCAGTTTGAGGAAAATTAAATATGTATAGGGTGAACAGGAGCACATCTTGGTCATCAAGCATTATCGTTATGGGATTTCCCTTAAAGCAAGGTTGACTGAAGTAATTATTTACTTAGAAAGTACATAGTATTGTAATGCAACTAGGCATTTCCCATATGAACTGCACTTATGCAAATGCACCACCATATCACCCACTGATCTAGGCAGGAGTCCACAGTGCAAAGTACATGCGCTGATGTTTCATCCCCTTCACATCCTTTCTGGCCTCTAAGTTTGCTTTTGCTCTTTAAGAATCAGAACTAAAATGTGTCACTTCAGGCGTACCCTTCTCACCTCCAGCCCACAGTGCCCCTGCTCTCCCCGCCCCATTACACAGCATTTTTCCTGAAGAACAAGCAAGCTCTAGTGACGCACTTTGCTTTCTGCATTCCTTTCTGGCCAGAACTAGAACTATGCCCTCACGAAGTGCCCAGGTACTGACGTTCTCTCAGACTAAGTCCAACTTACTTCCTGGGATGCTAAAAACAAACATCCACTGGCTTTGATCTCCTTTGACCTGCTGTGTCCAGATCTCTCTAGCCACACCAGACATACATGGACCTCCTACATCCATACAACTGCCTGGGAAAAAGTGTTCTCTCCTTTCCTGTTTAGCACACACATCAGTGGCACAGTCGAGTGGGTAACCACAACACATGTTTAATTTGAAGCACTCTGTCCTCCTAACCTGCCTTCTTTATCTCCTCCCTAGAAAACCCATTAACACGGTCAAGCAGGTTATCTGAATTGCCTATATTACCTGCAAGGTAGTAGCTAATATCAAACCCCTCATCCCCACCTACCTTAGGTATCGCTATCTACTTTTTACAGAGCTTTCCCTTGAACTTCCTTAAGTCCAGGCAATACAGCCTTATCTTAAGATTTTCCAAAGCAATACTATCAGGGCCCAAGATGCACACACAACGCTGAGTTTATCCACATTTCCTACTAGGGAGTTGGGTTTGTGTTCCCCACCAGCTGAGTATCTTTGCCGTCATTTTCTCCCAGGGCTCTTCTAAGTTGATTGTTTTAAGCTGAGGTGCTCATATTCCTGTGCACTTTCTGCAACCCTGAGCGTTACCTGTGCTGTCTACTTGTCTATCAATTCAGGACCTTCTACTCTGACAGCCAGCCTAAACTAAAACCTAAACGGAACAGACTCCAAGCTAGAGGCAGAGCTGATGTGAAGTCCCACTTTGTGTTAATTACCCGGCTCCCAGTCCACATTTCCAAACTTCGAGGCTCCTTCCCTGAGGCCCCTTGTGCAGAGGATTCCTCTAGTCCACTTCCTGGTGCTCGGTCCTCCTCTCCCAAATGCAGGTCCACTCACACTTTCTGGGAGTCACAGTTGCACCTACTTCACCTCATCTGGCTTAAGAATACACCAAACTGGTGACAGCACAGACCTCTGAAGCATGTCCTGTGGCCCTATTACCTCCGATGTCCTTAGCACCTTATTGCCTTCAGTATACACGAGTTCAGGAAGTCAAGTGGACTGACACGTGCTTTCTTCACTTTTCCCCTTAAAATGTTCGTGTTAATGGTACGCTTCTCAAATTCGCAGCAGTGCTGGGATTTTTTATGGAATTGCGAGAGACAGGTCCTGACTTCCCACTCTTTAAAGAGAGTTCACCAATTTCCCTTGGGAGTTTCTCAAGACTCAAAAAAGGAAAAGAAAAAAAAAGGAAGGTAGAAAGCAACGTAGGTATTAACCATTTTTCTGGTACTCCTCAAACCCAAAACTATTACAGAGGGCATTAGGGATTCCCCTTGGCTACCAGGAGAAGCACCGCGAGTCCGATTCCTGACAGGTGAGCACCAAGAGACGAGGTGGAGTTTTGGTCGCTAGTTTAGCGTGAAGATCTGGATGCGGGGGCTTGTCTTCCCAACCATTGGAGGCACCAGAAAGGAAGGAATAATGGGCTAATACAGAAAGAGCATACATTAGGGTCCCAGATACCCAAAACCTCCAGGCCTCTCCGTCTGTCGTCACCTGGAATGAATGGGCTGCAAAGCCTGCGCACTGGCGGCTGGGCCGCTTCCCCTCCCGCCGCGAGCCCCGGGCCGCCCGGACGGCACCTCCTTACCTTGCGGGAGTACGGGGGCTTGCTCAGGTGGATGCCGTCACGGACGAGCTTATCCCTGATCATGATCTTCAGCTTCAGTTTGGGGTAGCTCACCAGCTCCCTGCTGCGGGGGACGGTCGTGTGGCCGCGGAAGTCCCCGCGGGTGCCCTGGGCCTGGCCGACGCACGGCTCCCCCCGGCGGCTGGTGGGAACGGCGTCGGCGGACGGCCCGAGGGGCGCCGGCTGCGGCTGCGGCTCGAGCGTGAAGTAGAGGCCGGCGGCGTTGGCGTCCTGCTCCCGCAGCCGGCGCACGGCCTCCAGGATGCGGCGGCGGTGCGCGGGCGCCAGCACCCCGATGGCGTCCAGGTCCGGGTCCCCGATCTGCTTGCACACCTCCAGGTCATCGTAGCCGTTATCCACGAAGGACTCCGCGTACTGAGGAAGCTGCAACGCCTTAAGCCACTCGTAAACTATGTTGGTGCACATGGTAGGACCCGGAACCCCGCCGCCGAGCACCTTCCCAGCGCCCCAACGGCACCGGCGGCACCAGTTCTGGGAACTTTTAATCCTCTCCTCCAAGGGGAAAAGGGTATCGCGGTAAAGTTTTCCTTTTAAAGGAAAGACTCGGGCCGGAGGCAGAAAGCCATCAGAAGAAGCCTGAGGAAGGGAGAAGCGAAAAGCAGCAAAGTGAATTCCCCAAGCAGCCGCGGAGCTCGCAGGCACTGGCTGCTGGGCTGGGCGAGCCGCTCCGCTCCGCGCCGCCCCTGGATGCGCCGCCGCCGCCTCTGCCGCGGGGAGGGGCGCGCGACCGGCGCGGGAGGGGGCGGAGGCGGGAGGGGCCGGGGCACACCCCTCGGACCCGTGCCGGGTCAGCGCCGCTCAGCGCCGCCCGCGAGGTTTCCCACCCGGGACGGTCCCAGGACTGTGCGCTGCATCTCGCGCTCTGGCCGCCGCTAGCGCGCCCCGCGCTGTGAGGCGACTCCTCCGCGCAGACCCGCGGCCGCTGGGAGCCCCGCGTCTCCGCGTGTCAGTCACTGTGGTCCTCCCAGCGGGAAGCCGGTGGCTTCCAGGCTGTCGGGCTCCGCTGGCTGCCCTGGGTTGCTTTTCACATTTCTCTTTAATCCGACTTTACCCGGTGGAAGTCTCCGCGCTCACTTCTTCTCGAACCTGCTGGACTCCCGCTTGCGCGCCTGCTGGCAGCCCAAGGACACGTTCCGCCGCCCCACCGCGCTGGGGACGCTGCGGGGTTATGTGTCCCTTCCTTCCCGTTCCGCGTCTGAATCCCCCTTCCTCGGAGCCCAGAGCCCGGTGATCTGGCTTCTTCCGTGGGCCGCCACTCAGTGACCCGAGCTGCGGCGCGTTGGCCCGGCGGGTGGGCGCGACGTGGGGGCCGCCCGAGTCCAGCAGGCGTGCGCGCCGCCCCTCCTCGCTGCAACTGGGCACGTTGAGCGGCGGAGAGGCTGCTGTGCTGCTGGGCTCTCCCCTCCTAAGCTCCCGGGTCTGCGAAAGTTTGGGGTGGGTGGTACTTTGTCCTAGGTGGCTGTGTTCCACCCGGTCCCCCACCCTGCTTTCTACCGGCCCCTCACCCTCGTCTGCGCTGTGCTTCCTCTCCGGGCCCCGCCACCTTGTATACTGCACGGGCTCCCTGGGTGGCTCTGCCCCCGGGGACACTGCCAGGCCTTCAGTCCTGGAGCCCGGGAATCCGAGCCCATCCTCTCGCTCCCGCCCCGGGATCGCGTAAAAATCAATAGAGCACCACCCAGCTCGCGTTGGAAGGGACGTTCAGACACCTCCGCTCGCGGCATTTTCCCTCTAGGAGGTAACAAAATCAATCGAGTTTCCCCATCATGCCAATGTCTGAGCAACCGCTTGGGAGTGGGGATCCGAGTGGCAGGTGGATGAGACTAAGCGCCTCCGCCCCATTTCCCGGTGTCTGACCTCTTCTTGGGACTAAGGTAAGGGAGGGACCATAGGAACAAGTACTGTCTCCCCTCTTTCCGCAGAAGGGCGATTCAGCTTCGCACCTGAGCTGTTTAAGGACCCGATCTGACCCTTTTTCTGAAGATTCCTCTTGGGGCGTGCCAGTGTCTCGCCCGACCTTGGGAGGTGGACAAGGAGTGACTTCAGAGTCGTTTCCCGACCTGCTGTGTGTTTGGCCTTTGGGTGGGCCCTCTTTCTCTAAACCAAGAGAATTTAACCCCCTCTTGGGACACGAACCTCTTAAAGAATCAGATGACAGCTTCAGTCCTTTTGCCCAGGAAAATACCCAACATAAGCGCACCCAAAACGTTCCCTACAGTTGACGGGGGGAGGGTCTGGTTTCCAAACCCCGGGACTCACTAATCTCAAATTAAGAACAGCTGTCAGTAAGAACCGTCTGCTCAGGGGGAGGGGAGAGACCAATGTGAAAAGCCGTGGAGCTGTGAGTAGCCCCAGCCTGGGGTCACCCAAGCTGCCGTGGTAGGTGGCAAAGCTCCTGGGTACTGGGATGCTGGAAGCGGACAGCCCTCCCCGCCCCGCACGAGTTGCCGCCTCTCCCTCGTCAAAGCGGTATCACAGTGCCCCCTCGCGTCCGCGCGGCCCCATTTTAAGGCATTGTCCCTGTCCTCCAAACTCATTCTATTCAGCAGAAAGCAGTGGGCTTTACGGTTTTATACTAGTTCCCCTTTTAAGTACAAATGTTTTATCACGTTTATCTTTATATCCCAGTATTATCTCACAAGGACCTTTGAGTTTTTTAAAAGAAAATATTCCAGCAGTTTGAATGATGCTGCTAAGAAACAGAAATTATCAGCAAATATTTACTGGGAAATTACTATATGTCAGGCATCTATTCACACATCTGTATACATATGCTAATTAGCAGTATTATCTCATATCTTACAGAAGAAGAAATTGACACATCAAAACTAATTTGCCCACGATCTCACTATTCCCAATGTAGCAAGGGTTTAGAATTCTGGGAGGGGGCATACATTTAGCATCAGCCTTCAGCCTTTCAACTACTGTGCAACATGTAGGGGGGAAAAATAGGCAGATTGTAGGAGATGAGGTTTTTTTGTTTGTTTGTTTTGAAGTTTTTGGTTTTTGGACTGAAAAACTTAAAGCTCAGGAATTTTTTTTTTTTTTAACAGTCTCACTCTGTCACCCAGGCTGGAGTGTAGTGGGGTGATCTTGGCTCACTGCAGCCTCTGCCTACTGGGTTCAAGCGATTTTCCTGCCTCAGCCTCCCCAGTAGCTGGGACTACTGGCGCCCGCCACCACGCCTGGCTAATTTTTGTATTTTTAGTAGAGACAGGGTTTCGTCATGTTAGCCAGGCTGGTCTGGAACTCTTGACCTCAGGTGATCTGCCCACCTCAGCCTCCCGAAGTGCTGGGATGACAGGCATGAGCGCATCATGGCCTGGCCCAAAGCTAAAGAGTTTTATTGTGTTTCTTTCTTTCCCAAGTTGTATGAAAAGTCCAACAGCACTATTCTGTAGTTTTTTGCCTTATTGTATATGGCCTTTTCCCCTCTGGGGGACTTAAGAACATTCATCTTGTCTTATTAATCCTCAGTGAAGCAGAATCCTCAGAGTATTTTTATTTCCATTTTACCATTAGGGATACTGATTGGGGGAAGATGAACGACTTGCCCAAGGTCATACAGTAAATCAGGACACAGACAAGAACAAGCTTGCCCTGTCAAAGTGCTTCCCTGACAGGCAGTGGAGATTCTCCTTTATTTATGTGCAAAGCACTCTCCAATTAGGAAATAAAGCATCCTGGTGCTCTCTTTGGAAGGGAAGCCTTTTATAAAGTAATCACTTGTTAATCAGTTATAAATAAAACATACTTACTTTTGACCTCTAGAGGAAACCAGCTATCTGGAGATTTCACTAGTCTGAGCTATAGAGACTTTTTTTTCCAGGTTTCCCTTCTATTTCTCATGTATACTTCTACACTTACTCACGTCCTGCTTGGGTGAACCATTGAGGTTTGTGTTCCACTGCTTGCCTTATCATACCTAAACCTCTTAATAGATTTCATTCTAGAAGCTACTATGCTCAATGTGTCTATCTCCTGTGGAGACTAATGGCTAAAGTTCAAAGTGACTCTGGCAAGAACAATTGGCTGTAGCCTTTCAGAACTAGAAGGCCACTGAGATCATCCCCGGCATCCAGATTTACAAGGAGGAAGCCGAGGCTCAGAGAGGTCAAGTTCCTTACCAAAAGCGACACAGCTAGTTTGCGACAGAACTGGGTCAAGAACCCAGATCCGCTCCCTCACAGTGCTCTTTGCAATGTACTGCATTACCCAATTTTTGCTGCAAGTCCTTGGCTACTGTCAAAATCATTCATTTACTCATCAAATGTTTATTAAGTAAGCACTTCAGTGCCAGGCAGTGAAGTAAAAAAAGAAGAGTTTTTCTTCATTAATTGGAACTGGAGAGACTTCAGCATTTGAAATAGGTAGAGAATAAACTGATCACTTTTTTTTATACATTAGTTCATGAATTATAAAGATTACAAAGATACAAAGCAATGTTTCTTCTATCTGTAATATTATCCAAATTCTGTGATAATATTAGCCAGAATTTCAACTTAAATTATATTTGAAATCCAGACAAAAATGTACTTTAAAAACACAAGTGGCTACTCTGCTTCTGGTTGCAGGCTTGGAACACGCAATTTACTCAGAATACATTGTCACCTTGTCAACTACCTCTCATTTTGTGTTACTTTTGAGTAGTATTGCTTTGTTTGAGTTTTTTCTTTATACAAAATTTTTCAAAATAGTTATCATGTTGATTATTATTTATTACGTTTGGGGCCACACTTAATTTTGCAGGAGGATGACTTGCCTAATGAAAATCAATGGAATAATTGGTTATGGAGAAAGTTTCTTTTTAGGCAACATTTTAGAACCGTTTTGCAATGGTAATCACTATGGCAAAATGCCTGTTGATCCTCTCCATGTAATTAATTCATGATAATTATATTCAGGTTTTACATTCTAACTATCAGAAAACAGGAAAAATAATTTGTTATGGAATTTTCTTGGTGCCACTTAAGGTTTCAGACTATTTTAGAAGATAAATGTTCACACCTAGTGCATGTAAAAATTAAATTCCATTAACATCTATTAAATGTCAGTCCCTAGGGTGTCTAGCCTTGTAAAAGTCAAAGATATATAATATTAATCTTAAAATGCAAAATATGTCTTGCCTCTGCTTAATCCATGAGCTAAAAAGCATCCAGAAGGAGTAGATGCCATAGGGAGAAATGAGAATAATGGGCTTGAGTGATGTAACAGGCAATCTCTTCCCCTGTGGCTGGGGGTGAGGTGCTGGGTTGGCAACTTAATTGGGGGCAGGCAGGGTGGGGTGTCTGTTAACATGTCTGAGCTGTATACATTAGACTTGTGTGTGACAACACACATATGAAAGAAGAAAAGACAAGGAGCAGTGGGGAGTGCCAGCAGGATTCATTAGATTATTCATTGCTGTTATAACAGGCCTTTCTTTCTTTCAAGAAGGAACAAAGGGGAGGAAGTGCATGTTCAGGAAGTCATCCACTTAGAGGTCACTGACAGAAAGAGAGCCAAGCTACAGACTAGGTTTGCGATAGAAAATAAAATACGATTCATTTTTCAAAAACTGTATTCTCTCATCTTTGGTAATCCCCAAAAGTTCTATATTTTAAAATGCTCTCCAGAAGAGGAGGAAAGGGTTAATCTAGAGTCTCCTGAGGTAAAAATGATAGGTGCAGTATTTTGCTAGATAACAATGGGCAGCTTTTAGGATTACCTTTTATTTTTTCATTCTACATCACAAAGCTATTATTATTTAACACCTAAATGTTAGGTTAAATAACCCCATACAAGTAAAATTATGTTGGTCAGTGCTATTTCAGACCAGTACAAGTCATGTATATAATCATAATGATGAAATTACTGAAGTTATGACCAGTGCAAATTGACTAAACAACAGTTTTTCCATCTGACAGTTTCTCCCCATTCTGGAGTTTGGACGAGCGATCCCATAGAGCCTACTTCCTGAGACCTGCATGGCTACTGATGATGGAGAGGTGGTTCATTTTCTCTCTTTAGGCAACATAATTTTATGTATTTGTTTTAAAATCTTTAGTGCTTCTTGTCTAGTTTAAACTTGATATTGGAATACATACTTTATAACTCTTGAATCCTTCATTTATAAGAACCTGCATAATTAGGGCTCTTAGTAAAGTCTGAGATCTTGCCTCTTTGCAGCTTTGGAGCAAGGCAGTGTGGAGTGCATCCCAGTTTTGAAACTATCTCTAACCTTGAAGGCAATACACACACACACACACACACACACACAGCCTCTTAGACCCTACTCATAAATGTGCAAATACAAGAACTAGGTGAGGCATCAGATACCCATATCAGAAAAGCCCAGTTCCTAGAAATAAGGCTGACAACCTGAAAATAGGAGATGTTTTGAATATTTCCTCAAAACTTTTGAGCTTAACAGTTTCATGAAAGCCCAATTTCAGACCCTTTCTTTGAGCTATTCAGCTGTCTTGTCTGAGTGAGCCCTCTGTCCACAGCTTGGACCAGGGCCGTGGCTTGGAGCAGTATGTTCTCAGCCAGCATGCTGTGGCCCTAGAGGACTTGCTGGGGTCATGAGCAAGGAGAGAAAGTCTTCAGAGACCTGCCCAGAAAAGTAACAGAGATGGCATTTTCTTTATGCTTTATAATAGGATAAATGCCACATGTTTCAGAAATATAAAAATTAAGATGAAACAATATACTTAATTAAAAGGTAACATGGGTTTATTCCACTATAATCTAGGAGAGAAGAAAACTTTCCTAACTTTGATTCAACTTCCTGAAGCAGTGGGGAAAAAGCTTCATACTTTTGATTATATAAATATGATAAACCTTTGCATGGGAACAAAAATCTCTATTAGCAAAGTAAATAGACAACAGCTTGTCCTTGTGGGAAGGTATTTAGAATTTATATGGTAATCATAGATTGGTAATAGCTAATACAGAAAAAGCATTTAAAAATAGAGAAAATTAAAGGCCAGCAGGGCTATGGAAAGATGGGTGACAGAGTTCTCAGAAAAAAACAAACAAACAGATCCTCATTTGAAACAATTCTCAAGTAGCTTCAAAGTAAGAAAAATGCAGGTTAGGAGGCCAAAGTGGGAGGATCGCTGGAAGCCAGGAGTTCAAGGTCAACCTGAGCAACATAGCAAGATCCCATTTATACTGAAAAAAAAAAAAAAATGGTGGGCATGGTGGTGCAGGCCTGCAGTCCCAACTACTGGGGAGTCTGAGGCAGGAGATCCCTTGAGTCCAGGAATTTGAGATTGCAGTGAGCTATGATCATGCCACAGTACTCTAGCCTGGGTGATAGAGCAAGACCCTATCTCAAAAAAG